TATGCATGTGCTTTAAATCATCTGTAGGTCACTTATAATACCTAATACAAAGGAAATGCTATGTAAATAGTTGTTAGATACCGTGTAAATCCTATGTAAACAGTTGCTGGCATGGCAGATTCAATTTTTGCTTTATGGAATTTTCTGAATTTTTTTTTTTAATTTTTAAAAATTGAAGTATAGCTAACACACAACAGTATGTTAGTTTCAGGTGTCCAACATAATCATTTGACAATTAAATGTATTACAAAATGATCCCCACAGTAAGTCCAGTAACCATCTGTCACCAGACAAAATTTTTACAGTGTTATCTGCTACAGTCATGCTCTGAGATATTGCAGGTTTGGTTCCAGACCACTGAAATAAAGCTAATATTGCAATAAAGTGAACCATACAATTTTTTTGATTTCTGAGTGCATATAAAAGTTATTATAGCCTATTAAGTGTACAGTAGCATTATGTCTAAAAAAAGTACAATGTACATACCTTTTATTTAAAAAATGTTTTTGTTCAACTGCTCAGTCGTGTCTGACTCTTTGTGACCCCATGGACTGCAGCACCTAGGCTTCTCTGTCCTTCACTATCTCCTGGAGCTTGCTCAAACTCACATCCATTGAGTTGGTGATGCCGTCCAACCATCTTTTCTTCTGTCATCCCTTTCTCCTCCTGCCTTCAATCTTTCCCAGCATCAGGGTCTTTCTAATGAGTTGGCTTTTTGCATCAGGTGGCCAAAGTATTGGAGCTTCAGCTTCAGCATCAGCCCTTCAAATAAATATTCAGTATTGATTTCCTTTTAGGATTGATTGGTTTGATCTCCTTGTAGTCCAAGGGACTCTCAAGAGTCTTTCCAACACCACAGTTCAAAAGCATCAGTTCCTTGGTGCTCAGCCTTTTTTATGGTCCAACTCTCACATCGATACATGACTACTGGAAAAACCATAGTTTTGACTAAATGGACCTTTGTCGGCAAAGTAATTAAAAAATACTGTATTGCTAAAAATTGCTGACCACAATTTTACAATGTAGGGCTGCCACAAACCTTCAATTTGTTTAAAAAAAAGAAAAAGCAATAAATGATAGTATAGTAAAACAAGGAATGTGTATATATTCCTTATGCTGTATAGTACATCTCCATGATTTATTTATTTTATAACTTAAAGTTTGCACCTCTTAATCCCCTTTACCTATTTCACCTAACCTCTCATTCTATATCCTCCACCTCTTTATATCCATGAGTTTGTTTTTCTCTTCCTTGGTTTGTTCATTTGCTTTTTAGGTTCCACATGTAAATGAGATCACATAGTATTTGTCTTTCTTTGCCTAATTTATTTCACTTAGCATAATACCATTTTGCTGCAAATGACAAAATTTTATTCTTTTTCATGACTGAGTTATATTCCTTTGCACATATTCACCAGATCTTCTTTTATCCATTCTTCTATCAATGAACTTCTAGTTTACTTCCATATCTTGGCTATGCTTTCCTGGTGGCTCAGATGGTAAAGAATCTGCCTGCAATGCAGATGACCTGGGTTTGATCCCATGGACAGAGGAGCCTGGCGGGCTACACTGGATGGGGTTGCAAAGAGTCGGACACAACTGAGTGACTAACAGACACACAAATACACAAGATAGGCTGCTGGAACTGTCCCTATGGTTGTGTGGACTTTCTCCATGATCCAACAGACATTTTTAGGTTGTTTCCATATCTTGGCTTTAGTAAATAGTATTGCACTGAACATATGGCTGTTTTGAGTTAGTGGGTTTTCTCTCCCCTTGGTTAAATACTCAGAAGTGGAATTTCTAGATTGTTTGGTAGTTTTTTAATAGTATTTTTAAGTTAACATGTTGTTTCATCTTTGGCTGCGCTGGGAGTTCATTGTTGTATACAAGCCTTTCTCTAATTGCAGCAAGTGGGGGCTACTGTCCAGTTGTGGTGTACAGGCTTCTCATTGCAGTGGCTCCACTGGTTGTGGAGCATGGACTCTAGGTATTCAGGCTTCAGTAGTTGCAGCACACAGACTTAATTGCCCTGCGGCATGTGGGATCTTCATGGACCAGGAATGGAACCCATGTCCCCTGCATTGCACGGTAGACTCTTAACCACTGGACCACCAGGAAGCCTCGTGGTTCTGTTTTTAATTTTCAAGGACCTTCATGTTGTTTTCCATAGTGGGAACACCAACTTACACTCCAGCCAGCAGCGCTCAAGGGTTCCCTTTTCTCCATATTCTCACCACCACTTGTCATTTGTTGTCTTTTTGACGACAGCCATTCTGATAGGTGTGAGGTGATAGCTCATTGTGATGTTGATTTGCATTTTCCTGATGATTAGTGACTTTGAGCATCTTTTCATGTGTCTGTTAGCCAGCCATCTGTATGTCTTCTTTGGAGAAATGTCCATTCAGCTTCTCTGCCCATTTTTAAAATGGATTTAAAAGTAATTGAATTGTATGACTTCTTTATATAATTTGGACAATAACCCCTTATTGGATCTGCCATTTACAAACATCTTCTCCTGTTCAGTAGGTTGTCTTCTTGTCTTGTTAATGGTTTCCTTTGCTGTGCAGAAGCTTTCTAGTTTGATGTAGTTTTACTTTTGTTTTTTTGTGCTTTTGTTTCCCTGGCCTGAGGAGATAGAGCCAAAAAAATATTGCTAAGATCAATGTCAGAGACCATACTGACTGTGTTTTCTCCTAGGGGTTTTATGGTCTCAGGCCTTAAAGTCTGTAATCCATTTTGAGTTCATTATTGTATATGGTGTAAGACAACGGTCCCCTTGCTGTGGGCCTGGTTGCCACTGTTGCAAATGTTCTGGTATGACCCGTAGGGTGAGACCCACTGTGGGGGTATGCTGGTGCCCGCCAAGGGTGCCTAGTCGGGCTGGCAAGTTTGTGGGCCATGTTGGAGGGGCCCTGGTGCTGGCCGAGGGCACTCACCCAGACTGGTGGGGCAGGTTTCTTTCCATATATTTTCCACCTGCAGCTGATTGAAGCCACAGATTTGGAACCTATAGATACAGAGGGCTGACTGTCCATGAAATGATACTGTTTTAGAAATGAAATGCAAACATTTAACTCCACTTTAGTAAAAAATATTGGCTCTGTTCCAAGACTTAACATCATGATTTTAATTAGAAGAGTATATCAGTGGACACAATGGGAGGAAAATGTGTGGTTTGCTTTCAGTAAAACTGAATACACCAATACTTGTTCAGTGTGCATTACGGAATTATTTCTTGTTCCTCATAGATATTTCCAAGGGAAAAAAATCAAAGACACGTGTTACACTGAAGAGCAAGGTAGTGTGAATTCTGAAATAGTTATTCAAATAACTATTTGAATAGTTATCTGCGGTGTGTTTCTTCATTTTCCATTGTCAGGAGAAAATTGTTATTAAATTCTTGAATTAAATATGTTGCACTAATGTGCTGAGTCCATTTACATTTTATGGGATAATTGTATTTGTTCTGCACTAGGTAGCTGGCAGAGAAAACGAGTGGTGTTTGGTGATATTTTAAAGTTGTAGTTACATCAGCAACCAACTTGGAGGATCTAAATATAAATCTGGAAATGAAGTGTTGTGTGCTATATTTGGCTGCTCTGAAGACTGAAATGTAGTTTTTCCCATCACTTCCCAGTGGGTTTTTCCAGAGAGTCAGTTGTCATTCTTCTGGCAAGTTTTTTTTTTCATCCTAAATTGTGCTAACCTTTAGAAGGAAAACTACAAAAGTTACCCCCCAAAAAACATATTTTAAAGATAATGTTTTTAATTATGGGAATTTTTAAAAAATATGTAAATGTGTCTTCACCTTATTCTGGGCCCATACCCCAGAGACAATACTGTTTAACAATTTCTCTTATTTTAGTTTTCTAGTAATTGTGAATATAATTGTAAACTTTATATATATATATATATGTATATATATGTATATATATGCCTTCATTTATTTGATCAACTTTAGACCCTCTACGTATAATGCAGGGCTGCACTATAAGAAGATGCCAACACTCTTGGCATTCTCAGATGTGTTTTAAGAATTTAAGAACTCATTCTTCTGAGTCATACATGCTGCTCTATTACTTAATTTCTCCCTTGAAGTTCTACTTAACTTTAACTGTGATTCTCAGCTGGAAGGGAGAAAAGTGTGCTATGGCCTCAGTCCAGCAGAAGAATGTATCAGAATCTTTGGGAAGGTCTTTTTCAGATGTCTTCCTTCCTACCTCTTAAGGGAAGCTCGCTTGCTTGGTTGAAAGTCACTGTGTGTGATTTTGGATGCCACTAGTTGAGAGTTTATTATGCAGATAGTCCAGAAGCAGGGAAAAAAGTTCAGAATAATATATATATATATATATATAATTTACATATAATAAAATATATATTTCTATATACATATATACATATATAAAGACCAAGATATTTTAGTGGCAAACAGTTTTTGTTCAGGCTGAGGCATCATTGTTTTAGATCTCTTCATTTTCTGTTTCTCCTATTATTCCATTATTAACCCTTGCAGAGGGCTTTCCTTTTTATTTGCTTCACAAGAGTTCCTGCCGAAGCGTTAATGAGCAGAGAACAAGAAAGCAAAACAGAGATGTGGATGCCACATCATGGGAGGGCTTCCTGCTCAGATGAGTTTCTAGCTTCTGTATTCTAGACAAGGGTGAGTCAGATTATCTCCAGTAGAATTACTCTCACTGGGCCTTCCAGGTTCAGTGGAATAGTTGAAACTCTGAGGTCTCACTCCATAAATGCCAGTCCGCATCTTTTATACCTTTAAACCTGATGGAAAACTCTTAAAAGTCTGTGATTTTGTGTATTTGGCACCTTAACTTGGTACAGTGGAGTCTAAAAATGACAACAACAGTGACAAGGACATGTTTGTGTAAAGAGCTGGTTCCACAGTACTCCTGAGTTCTCACTACAGCACCTAAAGGGAAGTGAAAAACCTAAGATGAGAAATACTAATGGGGTTCACTGTTTGTTTTATCTGCAGACAGCAGCTGAATATGTAAAATCTCGACTCCCAGAGGCCCTTAAACAGCACCTTCAAGACTACGAGAAAGACAAAGAAAATAGTGTATTGTCTTACCAGACCATCCTTGAACAGCAGATTCTATCAATTGACCGAGAAATGCTAGAAAAATTGACTGTATCCTATGATGAAGCAGGTATGTTGGTCTTTAATACATACACACACACACACATGCATGCACACATACAATGTTTTCTTCCTAAAGAAGTTTTTTTTTAGATTTTGGTTACATTTAGGTCCTTTTCTTTGATAGAAGATGAAGGGTAGACTGAATTCAAAGTTATATAACATGGATTAGCAGTAAGTTTCATCTCTGAAGTTTTAGTATCAAAGACTTTAATCAAGAGATTTCTAAAAATGGCTCTTAAATATCAAATCCTGTTAAAATTTTTTGCTCTTTTTTAAATGGAATTTTTCTGGCCTTTTATCAGCCATGTGCTTCTACTGATTTAATCTTTTAAAGTGTCACTTCAGTTTTAGATGTGAGCTGAAAACTTTTACATCCAATAATCCAAGAACTGTTAGTTGCTTCAAGTATTATTTTTTAATTTCAGAAATTTTCTTCTCTAAAGAGTTACCATATTTCCCCCTGAAGTTTCAAGTTAAACTTGACTTTCTTTTCCTTTAGTTCCTCAGATGAATCCTAGCCCCTAACACCACACTGGACACTTTGGTTTACTGCCTTCTGTAAGTTCATATTATCGAAAAGAGCTTTTTAATGAAGGAACTTACTAATGAAGGCCTGGATTGACCTCCCTTGTAATACTGTTTTGTCTATTACATGGTCTGTCAGCTAAAACCTAATTGTAATGAAACCAGTGCTATATTACTTGGAATTATTAAAATCTTTAATAAAACTAAACTTACTCAGGAGAAATACATTGATTAAAATGATCATACCACCTCTGCATCCCACCCTGCCACAAAATGGATTAAGAAGTATGGGAAAATAGATTTCTAATGGTTAAACACTAGTAGTGTTAATCCCCTTTTTAATACCAGCATCTTCTGTTTCTCTTTGTACAAAGGAATTGTTATTGTGCATCTTATTTTCTTTCACACAATCTAAACAGTCTCAGTGCTGACATTCTTAACATTGGATTTCAAGCTTAGTTAGAAAACAGAAGAGCAAACCTTTAAAAAAAAAAATTTCTGCACATGCCTAACCACCAATGCACCTTTTGTGGTGATTAAGCTGTCCACATTTTCATTCAGACTGCTAACCTGTTTATATTCACAGGGTAGATACACATGTCTAGGCTTGCCCAGGACATCACTACTCTCTCTGATTCTTCTTTGCTTTATTGATTGTGGGAGAGACACCGTGACTTTCTTCTGCCTGTTGGGCTTTTAGTTATTTAGCTTCTGTATTTGTCTTGTTTTTAACATTCTTCTCTTTGGAATGCTCAGTCATCTCTCCTCTCAGTCTATTGGAGTAACGTAAGGCTATGACCAGCCCTGTCAAAATAATTTTTAAAGTTTCAAGCTTCTCAGAGATTATGGAACTCAAATAGTCCATCTGCTTCCTGTCCCCATAACCATGTTTTAAATTTTATTTGAAGTATAGATTATTTAAATATTGTATTAATTTCTGCTGTATAGCAAAGTGATTGTGTTATATGTGGATATATATTCTTTTTCACATTCATTTTCGTTATGGTTTATCACAGGAAATTGATTATAGTACCCTGTGCTACATCGTAGGACCTTGTTTACCTATCTCTATATATACTAGTTTGCATCAACTAAGACTCTCCGTTCATTCAACCCCTTCTCTCTCCTGCTTGGCAACCACAGGTCTGTTCTCTAAGTCTGTTTCTGTTTCATAAATAGGTTCATTTGTGTCATATTTTAGATTCCACATATAAGTGATATCGTATGCTATTTGTCTTCTTCTGACTGACTTCATTTAGTATGATCATCTCTGGGTCCATTAATGTGGCTAAAATGGCATTGTTTTTTTTTCCATTGTTTTGTTTTTTTATGGCTGGGTAACATTCCATTTTGTGTGTGTATTTATATACACACATATATATGTATATATGTATACCACATCTTTGTACATTCATCTGACGGTGGACGTTTAGGCTGTTTCCATGTTTTGGCCATTATAAATGGTGCTCATATGAATATTGAGGTGCAGGCGTATTTTCAAGTTATAGTTTTGTTTGGGTAGGTATATGCCCAGGAGTAGGATTGCTGGATCATATGGCAACTCCATTTTTATTTTTTTGAGGAACCTCCACACTTTAACACAGTGGCTATGCCAATTTACATTCCCACCGACAGTATAAAAGGATTCCCTTTTTGCCACATCCTCTCCAGCATTAGCATCTTTTCACCTGTCTGTTGACTGTCTTTATGTCTTCTTTGGAGAAATGTCTGTTTAGGTCTTCTGCTCAGTTTTCAATTGAGTTGCTTAGGCTATTGTTATTGAATTATGTGAGCTGTTTATCTATTTTAGAAATTAAGCCCTTACTGGTCGCGTCATTTGCAAATATTTTCTCCCAGTCCATAGGTTGTCTTTTTATTTTTAGTTTCCTTTATGGTGCAAAAGTTTATAAGCTTGATTAGGTTCCATTTGTTTATTTTTGCTTTCATTTCTATTGCCTTGGAACACTGACCTAAGAAAACATTGGTACAATTAATGTCAGAGAATGTTTTGCCTGTGTTCTCCTCAAGGAGTTTTATGCTGTCATGTCTTATATTTCATTAAGCCATTTTTCATTTATTTTTGTGTATGGTAAAAGGATGTGTTCTAACCTCATTGATTTAGATGTGACTGTCTAACCCTCCCAACACCACTCGAAGAGACTGTCCTTTCTGCATTGTATATTCTTGCCTCATTTGTTAAAGATTAATTGTCCATAAGTGTGTGGGTTGGTATTTGGGCTTTCTCTTCTGTTACGTTGATCCATGTGTCTGTTTTTGTGCCAATATCATGCAGTTTTGATTACTGTAGCTTTGTAGTATTGTCTGAAGTCTGAGAGGGTTATGCCTCCTGCTTTTTTCTCCCTTCAGGATTGCTTTAGTAATTCTGGGTCTTTTATGCATCCATGTACATTTTAGGATTGCCCATTACCATTCTATAATGAGAAAACTGCGACTTGTCTAAAATAACACAGTTAGTTATAGAGCTGGAGCTCCAGCCTCCTAACTACTAATCAAGCTGGGCTGTCACCATATTCATGCAAGTTGTCATTCACTCAGTTGGCGTTTGTGGAATGCACAGCAACATGCTTGGCCGTTGTAAGAAAGAGGGACGAGTGTAGAAACGGCAGAGAGGAATCTGAGATGTAGAAAACAGAGATCTTGCATAATGAAATCTAGCTAAAACATAGATTTATGTTTTATGTTTATGTTGAAACATAGATTTATGACTTTTAGAGAAAATCTAGCTAAGACATAGATTTATGGCTTCTTGAGAAAAATTGCTGACCATTTGGAATACGTACACTCTATAATATCCATAATCTGTTAAAGTTAAGCTGAGGGGATGTGGAGAAAAGGAACAGTGAAAGTGGCTCAAGTTTTCAGTGGAATTCTTTAGGGGAGGGCGTTCGCCTAGACCTTGAAGGACTAACAATGAACGTGGATTCATGAGAAGAGTGATGCAGCCTATGTGATGAAGGGGGCCCAAGGGGACACCAAGGTGAGAGTAAACATCATCTGCCACCTCCCACCACTCAACTTTTCCTCCTTCAGGAATTATTTTCCACTCACCTGCACTGTTGTTGAGCAGTGATTAATCTATGTATGGCCCTTAGGGACAAATACTTTGGCATGGAATTAATGATCAATAAATTCTGGAGCACCAAACGGTGGTAATAGCTACAGGATCAGAGTTAGAGGATCTATATTTCCAGCCTTTGCTGTGGCTTAATACTGGCATGATTAATGCCTAAAGCCTCTGTTTCTTCATGTATGAAGTTGTCATAGGGATATTATGATAAAATACATCATATTTGGGCAAGTCCTTAATCCTTCTTATTGCAGATGTCACTAATGCTGAATAAGAACAGATACAGATGTTGTCTGTGATTCAGATCAGTTAAAAGTACTGTTTGAGTTTTTTTCTTGACATGTAGTGTTTAGAGAGGCAGAGGCACATTTTATTTTATTTTATTTATTTATTTTTTTATGTTTTTTATTAGTTGGAGGCTAGTCACTTTACAATATTGTAGTGGGTTTTGTCATACATTGACATGAATCAGCCATGGATTTACATGTGTTCCCCATCCCGATCCCCCCTCCCACCTCCCTCTCCACCCGATCCCTCTGGGTCTTCCCAGTGCACCAGGCCCGAGCACTTGTCTCATGCATCCAACCTGGACTGGTGCTCTGTTTCACCCTAGATAATATACATGTTTCGATGCTGTTCTCTTGAAACATCCCACCCTCGCCTTCTCCCACAGAGTCCAAAAGTCTGTTCTATACATCTGTGTCTCTTTTTCTGTTTTGCATATAGGGTTATTGTTATCATCTTTCTAAATTCCATATATATGTGTTAGTATACTGTAATGGTCTTTATCTTTCTGACTTACTTCACTCTGTATAATGGGCTCCAGTTTCATCCATCTCATTAGAACTGATTCAAATGAATTCTTTTTAATGGCTGAGTAATACTCCATGGTGTATATGTACCACAGCTTCTGCGGCACATTTTAAAAATGATCTTCAGAACCTCTGAGAAGTCAAACAGCATCTATTTGTTAAATCATTCACTCCAGGCTCAGTTTGCCCTTGGTCATTCCTGCATGAGGTGACACGTTTGGTGGGGACTGTGTGTATGCATGAATAAATGAATGTTGCTGTGTGTTGTGAATCAAAACACTGCTTCCTCCTCCCATATATGAATATATGAATGAGTTTATTTCTAAGAAGAGAAAATATGAAGTTACTGCTCTTTAACAGAAAAAAAAATGTCATCATCATACAAAGGAATCAGGACAGAAAATTGGAAATAGTATCCAATACCTTCAAATATAAACATGCTACACTAAGCCACTCATTAGTTTCGAACCACTTAGCTTCTTGCCATGCTTCCCCAGTTTTACTTCCTCACATTTTTAAGTCAGCTTTCCCAGTTTTAGGCAGTAGTTAATTGCTAATCAGACAACTTCCTGGTAGCTAGAG